AAAGAACATGACACATCCAGTCTGTGCTCGATGAAACAGACTAAAAAACTCTAAAATAGTGTTATGTGTGTAGTGTGCAGTAATGTGTGCAAATGTGCAGTACTAGGATGAGAAATTTTCAAACGGTTTTTGCCTTATGAAGGCGCAATTATTCTACTTTATAATGCTGTCCTACACACGATAAAGACGTCGCCAAGCGCTGCGATCTGTAGAGTTAGAATATCGTACTGCGTATGATCGCAAGCATCAGTTTACTGAAGTCGGATATCGTCAAGTTCAATATTCACGTTCTCTGCTTGTACTGTGTATAGCCGGCGTGTACTACCACCATAAAAACATGACCGTTCTCGACACGGAACAACTCAGTAATGGTGTGTAAGTGAGCTTGGTTTGTATTTTCTTGGTGATTTTTCCTATTTCCATACAAATATGTGAACAGACACGAAGGTGGTCGTTTGATAAACGTTCTAATTTTCTTTATTGTCTTGTTGCATTTGATAACACATCATATAACACGTGTTTGCCAATAGGCCACAAGGAACTCATGACGATTTTGAAAAACGCTGGAATGGATGATATCATCACCTCTCACGTAGCAGCCCGCCTTAACGGCTATCTCGGAGGACATGGATCGCTGGCGCAATTCCAATCAGAGGACCTTGGCCTTCCGGATGAGGCTAAGGCGTACGTTGTGAAGGTTCTTCAGAAGAGCGTTACAGTTTCCTGTCATTAGCAGCATTATGCCTGTCATAAGAGTATATATACATAATAGTTGTTAATAAATAACTAGAGTACACGAAGTAACAGGTGCTTGCATAAAGCCCACTGCCAGAACGCATCATATGATCATCCCACGATTCAAGATAGCTATAAAGCAGGAGCTAATAGCAGCACATCATACGAGATTAATAAACTATTGCGAACATTTCATCAGAATAGGAACAGTCAGATTAGCGGAAGTAACATTGGTATTTTGAGACGATGGGCTACAATGTGTTTGAGGGATATTAATCGGTGCAATTAGCTTAATAATTTTATTATGACAATACAGTATTTCCGTGGCAAAACACTTGGTAATGTATATACTGTCCGAGCTTACGTAGTTCGGTAAGGCTGTGTAATTCGAATAGCCTTCACGTCGACCCATTTATATGGCCTGCGACTGTTATTTATGTCAGTGAATTGCATACAAAGTTTTCTAGAGCAAATCATAAAGCACAAAAAGGGAAAAGTAAAAATGAAGATTGGTTTAAAGATGTCATTTAGCTCTAAATGTTTGTGTATATCATTGCTGGTACTATGCCAGCATTTATCTAGCGATTACGTAAGTTTATAGAGCGTACTGGAAACGCTAATTATAGTGAGGAAACGCATTACCTCATGACGTTGGTCATGATTACATAATGATATAATAGTTTCTTCACCACGACGGTTACGTGCTATAAAACATTACTGGAATTATTCTCTATACATTGAGGTTGACGGGGAATGAATACTACCTAGGATAAGTCTGTTTCATCGAGCACAGACTGGATGTGTCATGTTTTTTCAACGATTGCTGGCTATCATGTCTGTGCATCCTGGAACTGAAGACTTGTTTATTTGGTGATTCATCCAGCACAACTATGAAACGGCACGGGAACAAAATTCCATAGCAATCGTTTGCCATCAAAAACTTTAACTATGGACGGCTTCACGCTCACAGGAACTATGAAAACACATTCAAGCAGATATGCTTCGCCATTACGATAGAAGGTTTAACGTTCCGATGTATTGGAATGACGAACAGTGCTTGGAGATAGTCGCCATTGAGTACATACTGCACGATAAGTTTTCAACGTATCTGCAAATTAATCTATTATCGAGAAAAAAACAGGAAGAACCTATTATGAAACAACGTCAACCACCCAACACTCCTAGACTATTTTGCATGACAGCATGGCTCTTTAAATGCGGCGAACTTCGTGTTAAACTTGGGTAATTTCCCTCGACGGACAAGTGGAGTCTCTTCATCTGAGGTTCGTCCTCCTGCCTGAGGAACTGTCTCTGATGGAAAAAACCGACCCGCAAACAGCGTAGCATAGATATCTGTGATCAGGGGTTCGTTAGCGAAGAGGATAACTGTAATAAATAACACCTATAAAAATCGGAAGTTAAGGTTAAAACAGCCCTCACAATCATTTTGCTTGACTGATATTTACTATATAATGTATCAATATCTTAGGAATGGATGTTCTGTTAAAGGTATGATGAACATATGTTCATCATATTTTTAGACTGAGTTTTGTATAACATTAACTACAGTTTTGGATTGTTCTTTTTCTTCTGTCTATTGATATAATATGCCTTAATTTAGCTTGTCTCGTTTGTACAGGTATAAATAAAGACCTGTTAGACTGGCTGTCCACTAAGCCTGTCGTCGATTGGCGGAGCCTATATAGTTCTTAATACATGCTACATGTGAATATTGAGTTACCCTGCATTCGTGTAACATAGTAATGTTATATAGGTCTCGGATTCTATCCCTGCGAAGTTAAGTTTCACCTACTGATACAACAAACAACATACTTACCCTAAATACGTTGGGAACAAAGGTTGACATGAGAAAATAAATGACAACGAATTTCGTGTAGTAGGTAACGTCCGCGTGCACGTCCCGTTCAACTGCCTTCAGTGCACCAAAGAATATCCCCAGCTCGTGTAAGGCAGCAGCAACCCCACTGGGAACAACATACGTACATGCGCAACCACACTGAAAAGCGACGGGCGTTGCGAGTAGTAATAGAAAAACAATACTCAAGTCAAGCATAAGTCTACAATTTCATTCAGAGTATTCAGGAAAACCATGCGTCTCCCGGTTCGGCCTAGGTTTAGGCTGTGTCCGCCTACTTCGAAGCTACCCAATGTGAAACGGTAAAACCACATGGTCGGCAATGCTTAACTAATCTGATTTGAAAAAGTCGAAGCAAAAAAGCAATCAGCAAAAAAACATGTAATTCCTCAAAAATGTGTTCTGTTAAGGCTTTTTAGATGATTTTCAGATGAATCCTAAATTCATATGAGAGCCCCCTAGCATTGCAATATAAGAGACATTGGAGAGTGAAAAATGTACCAACATAATACTGCACCAAATGATTCACCCTGCCTAACAGCGACCTCGCGCAATAAACAGATAGTTTCAATTCTAAAATAAAACGTCTATATTAATTACTTATCTCGTTTAATACCGTAAGCGATAAATGTTTGTTGGACTCATTCACTGATTCGTCATTAGGATAATATAAATCATTGTTTAACGCACACAGGGAAAAGAAAATATCTGAGAGTATCTTGTACCAACCAAGACAGCAGAAACCAGGCCCATCGTTGGCCTCCACACCGCTCTAAGGAAACGTTCCATTTCTGCCAGCGCATGACTTACGCGTCCCTGAAATACAGGGCCTGAATCTTCCATAGTGAGGTATCCGTCACCGAAAGTACCGGCAGAATTACTTGATCGTTTGACGCCACTGGAGAGTTGGGCATAGGCGCAAACTACTTCTGATGCTTGCGATTTGCTTTAGAAAATTCCTGACCGTTTCCTTGCAGCTCAAAGGAGATCGATCCAATTCGTTGTTGTCCATTTACAATAGTTCAATTACTCTTCAGCGGCCTTCCTCAGAGACGCTGTTTATATCGTCAGCATTATTTTGAAGTGAGAATGAAAAGTCGGATACGGAAGTCTCAACTTTATCAACTTCAAGTTTATGTTATTTACCATATCGATCATATGAATCTTACATCACTAATCCGGGCATGAATCTGGACTTCTGAAAATTGCAGTTTCAAAAGCGCACTCGATGCACCATTACCATATCAGGACTGCACACTGCTAATGGAGCATATATATCTGCATTTATAGACTTGCTGAAACGTATTTGTTGTTACAATCTTCGACTAGCAATTAAAAAATACTTACCTGGCTTGTTTATTAGGTGGACACAATTAGTTTTATAGCATGGTGTTATTTATTTTTGGCATTATAATTATTGCCTTTCGTTACCTGACATTTAGATATTCGTCCAGGTGATGGCCACGGAGTGGTAACGTGGCATACCTTGGAAGACAACTGGTGTATTGGAATCGTAATATTCACTGGGAACAGAAATACATTTTTTATAAAAAATTATCTCCACGACTATGAGACAAAACCGGAAGCACCCATATGGATACACACAATGCCAAAAAAAATTTAGATCCAGATGTTGTGAGGCATTGGGATCGGTTAAGGGAAAATGTTAATTTTCAGACATTTATTACCACCCATATATGTAGAAAAGGAGTGACCTGGTTGTATTTTGTTAGCCTCAGGCCTTGCTATCAAGGTGAAACTTCAAGCCGAAAAGCTTGAACGACCTTCCGCGTACCGTGTTTCAGTCGATTAATAACCTAACTGTAAATAATATTTATCTACATTTCCACGTTACATGCTTCATGGCAACGATTTTTATTTTTCTTGGCTGAGCCATTTGGTAACTTACCTCCTAACAGGGTGTCCAGAGGTATCTACTACATATTCAGCAATATCCTGGAGGAACATGTTTGGTTTCGCTATATCTTAATTGGGTTCCTTGGAGCTACATTTCCGTGTCAAATATTCTTCAGATTTATCCATAATTGTCCATTGGTCATATACGAAGACCGAGTGGTCTTGAAGGGTGCTAGAATAAAACAGCGTTTGGATCACCGCAAGGGTTTATATAAATTTTGGTGCGAACCCGATTTTTGTTTGACATGCATCTTCTACCATATAATTTTCTTGTTAGGCTAAGCCAAACCCCAAAAAAAGTTTTTGTTGGTTGCGATCAAATTTTTTGTGCCAACCTATATGTTTGGCTCATAGAACCAAAAATTAATTAAGTGTCCATCTCTCGGTGATGTTTTTATAACGATTCTAAATAAATCTAGCTTTTTTTCGAAGATTGTCGAAAACGGTTTATCAAACGAATCTACGTGTCGTAGCAGACCATCCAACTACCTATCCATGTCCTTCAGCATTTCTAGTGCACGCACCTTTGAATTCTATTTATATCAAATTTGTTTTGTGGATATTAGCCTATATCAAATTTGTTTTGTGGATATTAGTCTAATCCATATTACACGACAAGAGAGCCATCTCTAATATTCCCTGTTGCAGCATAACCGTTCACGTAATTATATATGTATACAAAGGATGAAGATTTCATTCCTATCCTATCCTATTCTATCCTATACTATCTTATCCTATCCTATTCTATCCTATACTATCTTATCCTATCCTAGGTAGTATTCATTCCCCGTCAACCTCAATGTATAGAGAATAATTCCAGTAATGTTTTATAGCACGTAACCGTCGTGGTGAAGAAACTATTATATCATTATGTAATCATGACCAACGTCATGAGGTAATGCGTTTCCTCACTATAATTAGCGTTTCCAGTACGCTCTATAAACTTACGTAATCGCTAGATAAATGCTGGCATAGTACCAGCAATGATATACACAAACATTTAGAGCTAAATGACATCTTTAAACCAATCTTCATTTTTACTTTTCCCTTTTTGTGCTTTATGATTTGCTCTAGAAAACTTTGTATGCAATTCACTGACATAAATAACAGTCGCAGGCCATATAAATGGGTCGACGTGAAGGCTATTCGAATTACACAGCCTTACCGAACTACGTAAGCTCGGACAGTATATACATTACCAAGTGTTTTGCCACGGAAATACTGTATTGTCATAATAAAATTATTAAGCTAATTGCACCGATTAATATCCCTCAAACACATTGTAGCCCATCGTCTCAAAATACCAATGTTACTTCCGCTAATCTGACTGTTCCTATTCTGATGAAATGTTCGCAATAGTTTATTAATCTCGTATGATGTGCTGCTATTAGCTCCTGCTTTATAGCTATCTTGAATCGTGGGATGATCATATGATGCGTTCTGGCAGTGGGCTTTATGCAAGCACCTGTTACTTCGTGTACTCTAGTTATTTATTAACAACTATTATGTATATATACTCTTATGACAGGCATAATGCTGCTAATGACAGGAAACTGTAACGCTCTTCTGAAGAACCTTCACAACGTACGCCTTAGCCTCATCCGGAAGGCCAAGGTCCTCTGATTGGAATTGCGCCAGCGATCCATGTCCTCCGAGATAGCCGTTAAGGCGGGCTGCTACGTGAGAGGTGATGATATCATCCATTCCAGCGTTTTTCAAAATCGTCATGAGTTCCTTGTGGCCTATTGGCAAACACGTGTTATATGATGTGTTATCAAATGCAGCAAGACAATAAAGAAAATTAGAACGTTTATCAAACGACCACCTTCGTGTCTGTTCAAAACCAAGGGCAAGACATAACTAGCATTGGCCAACGCTTCATCATATACGGCTTAAGCGATAATGTCGGTATTGTTAATTCCAAACGAAAGCTCTGCAGATAGAACCTTACGATAATACCTGTAACTAAATAAAATCACAATGGAGCACTTGCAATCGCTTTTGTCTGTGGAATTATTAGTAGAATACAGTGTTTTGCTCTCCGATGCGAAGGCGTCGCATGTACAAATAGCAACGTTCGCCTACAATCCAGACGCATCCCCTTCTGTTTCTGGATCGTCAGTCAATTGATTAACGACACGTTTGGATAAGTCTATTTTCGTGTATGTATGATAATTTTTGCACCTGCTCACCTTGGAGTCGATACTTCTGGTGATACCGTTCCGCATTATAGAAGACCTTAGCAGGAGCGATCTCAGTAACGATCGGCTTCGAGAACCTTTTTTGAGCTTCTTTTAATGTACGCTCCGCGATAGCTTTCTGGTCATCGGAATGGTACCAGATGATTGACTTGTACTGACACTTGTGCTTCTCTGTTGGATCATGCTTCTTCCAGAAGAAATCGAGAATCCCTACAAAAAAATAAGGAGCACCGAGCTACAAAGGATCCTCGAATTGTTCGATTAGATAGCATATCTAATTGAATTCGCCGTGACGCCAAGATTATGAGAATTTCAGTAGGAATTTCGATAAGACGCTTGACACGTCAAAATGAGCTACAGACCTAGTATTACTACTTTCATATTTATAGCATAGTAGTAAAAAATCAAAAATACAGTGTTATGAAAACCTTTGTAAATTAATGCTGCCTGTACTCTTTTAGAATATGTCAAAGACTTCTACCTAGAGGACATAATAGTTTTATTTTTGTTAAATACGAATTACGTGTTTCTAACTAACTAACTACTATACATAACGCAGTATCTGTATCTGAATTTTGTCCTACCTTCATATGTAATCACTGCAGGATCATACTCAAGTTCAGTACCCTCGGTGTGGTCGGCAAGGTCATGGTAATTAGGGTTTTGAACATCTCCGCCGGTGAAGCCAACTCGCGTACGGAGTACTCCCGGCGTGGCCCCGTACAACGCTTCAACACCCCAAAAACAGCCCATGCCTGTTTAACATGTCCACGTGAAAAATCTATATGGTAACAATCTAGGCATATGCTGTTTCGTATGAATTGAAGAACAAAGTATTTAATTGGAGCGTGTCGAGAAGGCGTGATCAACAATGCTTTCACCTAACTGCTGACAAACAGCTTGTTGTGATAGTCTATAGAGTCGGTCATTTAATCTGTCACTGGCGAGAACCGTGCTAACGATGACGGCTACCCTGAAACTACTCTGCACGCGCGCGAAAAATAGCGGCGGGTCTTTTCATATAAAAAAAAACGGGATCTAGCAAAAGCTTCCAGACGTTACGTGTTGATTTACCTACGAAGTTTGGGAAATATTCGGGACCTGGTGATGCTTGTACTCAATGCTCCTACTTCTACAATATAAAATTCTACTGCTTATTTTCGATTAAGCCTTGAAAATATCGATGACTAATTAACTGCCTAAGCGTTCTTGACATGTGTGGTTCATCTAAATCGTAGTTTGCAGTTTATAGAACCCAAAGTCGCATCGATAGAAAACGATAAGGAATCTGACTGAAGTAGCCAAGCAAATTTATCTCGTGTTTGTTTAACCGTGAGTTGGACCCTTGGCTTGATAACGCCACATGACCTCTCTATTATCCATTGTTCCCAAAACAACTAACTCCCATTTGATTAGTACAGCTATAAGTTTCCTTCCAAAAAAATAATTCTTACAAACAATGCAAAAGCCAAAGTTATCACCAACCAATTGTGGCTATTTCCGCACCGGTAACCTTCGGTTCCCTAAGCGAAGACATTTTAGCAGCAACACGCGACCTCGATGACAACTTCAAGCCCATAGAACATATACCACCTGCAATGAACAATAAAACACGAAACACAACTTATGTTTATGAAATATTTAAGAGCAGTTTTTTTTTTTAACTGAAAATGGCGAGAAATAAAGGAATAACTATTCTCCAACTCTTTTCAAGCTCAGCCTGATTTCAGGAACTTCTATAGTCAGCATGACGATCATACATTGCGTATACATGTGCATTTTATATGCACGCACACACACACATACACGTGAAGATACAGTAAAATACACCTCAACTCCTCCTGCAAGAGTATCTGTATATGGCCTATATTTTATTTGCAAATTTATTGCAAAAAAAACACAGTAACACGGGGTACGTTGTAAAGAGTTATTCGTTTTTTAGCGCTTTAGCGCTCCCAGACACAAACACGCACACATCCACACAATATACCAGAACCGAACAACTGCTTGTAACATCGGTTACATGTTAAGGCTGTAGCATTTATAGCTTTTATGGTTGAACCTGTGAACGAGACGCAGTTCAATGTAGCCGGATTACGGCCCACTTCAAATAGTCGCCTAAGCAGCATTCAATCGACAGATAAACACTGGCCAAACAGCTTTCCCTTTCCACACGTCTTCGCGGCGAGACGGCCCCCGTGGCTGTTGCTATCACATCGGAGAGTCTGGATGTCGAATCGCGTACAACCGCTACTGCAACTGAGCTCTCAACACGAACTGATCATTTACCCGAATCGACAAGGCAACGGCCAAGTACGGCTCCAGTATTGCCGACACAAGGTGTAGCTTTAATCAAACGTGTAGCTGTAGATGCTCCACTTGTGATTTTTCCGTAAGAGGGACAAAAGTCTTATGGATTTTTTTACCATTAGCGCCACCGACGCCTTCACATCGATAAGAGCAGCTTCTTGTAAATGTAGTCGTCGTAGGCGTGATAAACGGCAGCAGCAACATTGTTAGCGTCAAGGTGCCGGCAATAGTACGGATATCGCATAGGGGGCAGGCAGTCAAATGTTAATCTTGCTTGTATTTGTTATATTAGATTTTTGACTTTAGGGATGTGGGTCTGATTCCTGAGCGAACTGTCCTGTTCCCCGTAGTAAGAGTTGTGGTGGTGAAGAGGCGCCGCGTCTCATGGCAACGTCGACAGATATGGCCTTAAAATGGAAGGAGAAGACTCGCAGAGGAAAAGCTATCGCAAATTAGGTAGTTACTATTGTAATGCTATCCGACAGATAAGATCGCAAGGCGATAATTAATACGCGACTGCTTGAGGCAACTATTTTTGTAGGGGGCGCTGCATCTGTAGAGCCAGAGCCTAGAGAAAATATTACTCGTAGATACAGAATATATTCTATAGTAATTTTTCACGATACAACAGCTGCAAAAATTGTTTCACCGTCGGAAATTCTAATAGGGAAAGTAAACTAAGTGTGGCTGACATGAAAAGAACTTTTCAACCGAACTGAGGCATTTTTTTCTTTACTTTATATTGTCTACGGGCACGTAAATGAGCAAAGACTTGAAAATATGAAATGCGCTTATGCTATATAAAGGTGCCGAAGCGTACTCAGTTTCAGGCTTAGTTAACTTGATTACAATGATGTGAATTCAATGAAGTACATATGCAGAAAAAAATCGTGAGCGATTTTTTTAATAAATTCGGTCAAATGTAACTTTACGCTTTTCTTACACTGCAAACATTTGAAAACGGCAGACAAAAACGAAAAAATATATTCTGGGCATCAAAAAGCATAATAGCACCTTTTGCTCATTAATTAATTTAATTTATTCACGTTCGTTACATGTTAAGACTGTAACCTTTATAGCTTTCGCTTATGCAGTCATTATTTTTTCTACTCTGTAAATATCGACACAAATAATAATAATAATATAATAAATACTAATACTTCTTTTTTTATGTTAACGCCCGATTTGCAAGTCGATTGATAGTTACACTAGCTGAATAATATTGTGTATCCAAATTTTCGTGTACGAATACGTTTCGGAGCGGGAAATAACACCTAGTAACGTGCTAGACCGCTCAGTTTATCCACAAAATCTCACTCTAGCTTACGTGTCTGCCTTTTTGGAGAAATTTTATCAAATCGGGGAATAGCTTGGTTTAACACAGCTGAAACAAGACGTCTCTTTAGCACATAGGCAGTATATAAATGAACCGTATGGAAACGGCAAACATTTTATGGACACCACTGTCAGAGAATGGGCAAACATAGCTTTCAACTATGAGAAAATAGTTGCATTTCATCAGATTTTTGTCACATATGATATTTTCCTAAGCATCCTATGCTATCAGCTCTTGGCTCTGAATCGCTACATCAATATTGAGCCGTTTCCATTCGTAAGCCTCGATGGATAGCTGTGCATTGTAAGGTCAAAATAGCCTCGTGTGTGTGCTTTCCTTAATGACTCCTACGCCGAGAATAGCGATAATCATAGGCAATCATAGGATTAAGTGAATAGGCAATCGAACCATTAATATAGACGTAAAGATATATTCTTTGTTACCGTTCAGTATTTAAGTAGTTCAGCTAGCATATCTGAACCTATAATACTACATCATACATTTGTGCTAATATGATTATAAGCTGATGATCTCAATCAAAGGCTCAACAAACTAAATAGACAAAACAGGAAGATGAATTATTCATTTGTGTTTGTGTGTAGTTAGCACTATCAAAACAGGCTGCACGCTGTCCTTAGCTAAAGCTAACATGGGATATATATACCAAGGCATCTCACGGTGTAGAGCAGAGACGTTTCTTTCTGCTCAATTATTCATATCATAGCAGAAATCCTATAATGATATTAGCCGTGCATGTGCTTAATGATTGCGTAATTTTCTGGTTTTTTATTGCCTATTAAAAATATTATATGTATATATACATATATATAGACAGACAGAACAAATTGTTTGCGAATTTCCGTTATCCAAACTTGCTATAGACGTCATATCCAGATGCACTGATACGACCTTTATATGCTCAGCATCGACCTTCCGTAGGTGGGAATAAGGTTTCAAATCACGTTTGTTTGGGTTATTTGTACTTTTTTGAGGCCTAACCTAAGTAAAAGCAAAAACATGTTGGAAGGCTACTTCAGTAGATGAACTCGGCGAAGTAGATTCTGCCCTGATGCCGTAAATTGTCATTTAAGCAGACTCTGTACATAGATTAATATAGTTTTACAGTTCACACATGTTCTTCTAGTACAGGGGAATCTATCTACTTAACGAAAAGCCAAGCTGGCTCGGTATGAATCAAGAAATTGAATCTGATGGATAAAGGTTTCGACGGATGTAAGGGTTTAACCGTTGGGTTGAGTCCCATACGCGGCTTATACGTTTTTATTTACCGTCAAAGTATTCTAGTTGATCAAAGTCAGTTATTTCTTTGATAAGTAGCTAAATGATTGGGAACCTCGATGAGTCGGTAGTTCGTTTCCTCTGAGATTCAAATAAATGCGCGTGAACTTCTGCTATCCATCACAACAGCAGCACTTCCAGCATGTGCTTCTTGTTCGAAAAAAAACATTAGCTAATCGTATGCTGATTGTTTGATCAAAAAATTCATCTCAATTCTGTGTGCGCACTTCAAATACCCAGTGGTGTGGAGTTTTTAGGATAAACGCAATTGGGCATATAAAAAAAAAATGCGCAATTTGAAACTTCGTTACTATTGTGAGTTAGCCGGTATTTCCCAACAGGGTCGATGTGAACTTGCTGAAGATATACTTGGGAACGTGCTTCTCATCTGCGGCCGAACTCTCTGGAGGCTAACTGATAGTGGTGATTCTAACCGAGACGATGCACAACCAGGTTGGCTGAATGTAGGTGAAATTTTTGACCTTGATGACGATGAGGTGGTCAGCTTGCAGGCAACTTTTACGGGATTTTGCGCGGTTTCCAAATGTGGACAAATCGTAAGTTTAAACACTAACAGGTGTTAGTGTTACCTAACCTAAGCGGTAAATATAGCTGTTTATATATAATCTAAAGAAATAATATGCCAAATATAGATGTCTCTTCTCTACTGCACTCCATTTTAATCTGAAATAGAAACCACGAACTTTGTATACGCGTTTAAGGAAACCAGAGGATTTTCGTTAGCTTCTGTTTCAAATATCCAGTATGTATGTAGAATAAATTGAAAAAGACCAACTTACAATGGTATCAATGGTACAATGTGGTATATGGATTCTTTGAAATAAGAGTGGTTGCACTTCACTGTTTATTTGTTTACGGTTTTTACTACAGATCACGTTTCGACTTGACAAACTTCCAGCATATGAGATGATTGGAGACATATTTGGTGGAGTTTCAAGCGTAGCCTGGTCACCAGACCTTGAATTATTGGTCGTCGTCTCGACAAATGGACAGTTACTCTTGATGAGAGAAAACTTCAGCACAATAATCGAACAACCAGTTGAAACTGAATCTTTAGGAGAGAAAAGCGCCATCACAGTTGGATGGGGTTCGTTTCATTTAATGCCAAGCTTTATACATCTGTTAAGAACTTAGAAAAGTGTATCTTTCGATTTTACTCATGCGCATAGCAACGGTACAAGTTGTTCGTAGTCCTCAAGAGTTTCTTAAATGTACAATACCATTTTGTTTCGTAAAATAAAAAGCTGCAGTCACTCGTATTGGTCCTGAAATAAATTGACCTTATATCGTGTACTCGCCAAAATAACTACCGCAGGTAAGAAAGAGACCCAGTTTCACGGGTCGGAAGGAAAAAGGGCTGCAACAGTTGTAACCGTACAAAAGAAGCCTATATCTGAATTCGATGACAGGAAACCTAATGTTATTTGGCGGAATGATGGGCAGTATTTCGCGACGAACACAGTTCATAACGATGTCAGGTACGTGGCCAATGAATTAAGTAGATTTTGAGTCGAAATGCTTTTTAATTCAGTATAAATTTTACGAAAATCGTAATGAATCAACCGTTATTGTCTAATAAACAAAAATACCGTAAAAGTCAAAATTTGTCGGAAACATCGTGGATTGACTTGAGGCGAGTTTGCAATGATATGGAGATGAAAGCAGGCGTAGCGAGAAATTGTTAAAAAGCTTATGCGAAGAGTTGTTCTCCAAATGATGTGGATATTACCGGGCGGGATAGGAAAAAGCAATGTATATTTTTCGCATTTTGACTTTACAGACGCGAATCATCAACTGAATTTAAGTTGAGCGATGCTCAGCGGTTTGGCTAATATCTAATGACGGTTATAATAAACAGGCGTTAGTTGTAGCCCGAGATTTTTTTTTACAAATGTTGTGGTAAATCTAGGGTTGCTAAATGTAATAGACTCTTTTTCGGCATAAACAATTTTAGCTAAGATTGAGGCTTGTTATAACTAATCTTGCCGAAGAGTTAATTTTTGAGAGCATTCTAGCTATTAGGTGATGTTTTCGTTTTTCGAATTATCTTAGGACAATACGAATATGGTCCCGTGACGGAGTATTGCAGTACACAGCTGAAACTATCCCAGAGCTCCATGGGGCTTTAGCCTGGTGGTGGGGAGATGAAAATCTTATAGTTTCTGTTGACACGTCGCCAAAGGTAAATTGCTGGTAACATCACCGTAAAACATATATTATTGCTCTGACAGCTCTTCTATTTAAACTGAACGATTTTTGGACCGATCGATAGTTACTACTAAATGTTGATATAATCGCTCAAACCTTCGCAGGTTAATATAATGCTAATGGTGTTACTATTCCAAATTGTAGGCGGAAAGGCGTATCATATTCTATGAAACAAACGGTCTTCGACATGGACAGTTCACGCTGCCTGAAAACACCTTACGTGTGAAGGAAGTTTGTCAGGGAACACTGGGAGTTGTTCGAGTATTAACCGTTTACTGTTCTAAGCAAGTTGAAGGATCTAATAGTCAAGAAGATGTTCTCCTACTATTTACTATGAATAATTACCACTGGTACCTAAAGCAGACGCTGAGTTTTCCCGAGGGAGTTCGCGCATTTTTGTGGGATTCTCGGGAGAGATTGAGGGTCATGGCTGCTCGTTTTCACTCTTACAGGTTTGTTTATAACGAAATAGAATTTACCATATACAACACACAAATAGTAGTTTGCTTGAGTGTTCCAAAGCGTTTATACCTCTGTAGTAGCTCAAATAGTCTTTAATTTCTTTTTCTATAATTTGAATTAAGCAGGTTAAAATATGGATTGTTGGGTCTGACTTTTATAGGGTTAGATTATAAGTGGATCATTAAATGGTATTACTTCTAAATGAAAAAGCAATCATTTGGGGTGCTAAGTACACGACTAAGCTTTATAGAAAATCTCGAGCTCAAACGTGCACACGAATGGAACGCAATCAATCGCTCAATATGCTCGTTTGTTTTTTGAATCTTTCAGATGGTCGTTTCAAGTAGACGCAACGGGTGAAGGTCGAGTGGCAAGTATTGATGCCAAGCAAACACTGGTAACTGATTTCGACAAATTTGTTATCCCTCCACCTATGGCACAACGAGCAATCACTGTGAATCGTCACATCAACTCTATTGTGCTCTTGAAGTCGGCAATTTTACTTCAGCTTGACGATGGTTCCCTTGTTGTAAACGAAGCTGAAGGCAACAAACCTGTTACATGCAATCTGCCTGATGTACACCGGACGTCCTGGAGTCATTTAACGCGAGTGTCTGATGAACTGGCTGTTGGCGTGACTTGTTCTAAAGACATATATAAATTGCATAAGATTGTTATCTCTGAAAGAAAAGTTATCGAAGCTGCTATTCTTCCTAAGGTTCCAGAGTGTCTGACCATATACAAAGGGAATGTGTTCGTTAAGCTCAAGAATGAAATTTTGAGCTGCAATATCTACAGCCATGATTCGGAGTTGAGCCCTAGCAATATGGGTCACCTCGAAAGTCTTCAGTATACACCACAGGGAATAAAAGTAGGTTTCGACTCGACAGAGCGATGCCTATATTACGATGAGATTGTGCTATGTCACAAGTCAACGTCCTTTGTCATCCATGAAGATACGTTCATTCTTGTGACCACAAATGATAATACTTTGAAATGTTATTCTATTTTCGGGAACCCAAAAACGCCAGAATGCTGCGATACAAGAAACCTTGAAGCTGGTAGCCTTCTAGTCACTTCGGCGCCTACTGATGGCCGTGTAATCCTTCAAATGCCTCGTGGTAATATTGAGACTATATATCCACGGCCACTTATGCTCCACGCGATCCAGTCACATCTTATGACTGAGAGGTTTGATGAGGCTTTTCGCTTGATGAAAGTAAACCGCATCAACATGAATCTGTTCTATGATTACGACCCCTCCAGTTTTGATACAAAAATTGAAATCATTGTGAGGAAGTTAAAAAACGTTAACGATTTAAATTTGATGATAATGGATCTACAGCAGGAAGACGTGACCCAAACCATGTACGCAGGATACTACTCGCTTGTCGAGTTGCCTAAAGCACAAAAGATGAAGAATGTAGACAAAATTTGCGATAGGATTCGTGAAACGCTTGCGAAAGTAGATGAGGAGCGCTTCCTGTTAAGCATAATTACGTGCTATGCTAAGAAGAACACTATCAGTGATCTTGAGGTTGCTCTGTTGACTGCTAAGCGATTTGAAGTTCGATTCGATGAAGCTCTGAAATATCTCATTCTTCTCGTCGATATCAATCGCCTGATGGATGTCGCGCTAGGAACTTACGATTTCAAGATCTTCCTGAACGTTGCTCAACACTCGAAAAAGGACCCAAAGGAGTATCTTGCACTTCTTAAGGAACTTAAATCTTATAAGAACGAAAATTATCGAAAAGTTAAAACTGACATGTATCTTAAGCGTTACGATAGAGCACTTCTACATTTGGCTAAATGTCCTGATCATTTTGGGGAATGCCTTGAATTGGTTATTAAAGAAAGACTATTCACAAAAGCGCACAGCTTATTCCCTCAAGGATCGCAGGAAGCCAACGCATTATGGAACGCTCATGGTGACTATCTCTTAACAAAAAAGCGCTACAAGGATGCTGCGATAGCTTACATGCAAGCAAAAGCATACCAAAACGCTTGTCAGTGCTTCGAGAGGGCTGTAGATACGGATTTATGTCTAGCAGCTGCAAAACTGGCAGACCTTCCTGCGGAACCAATTGCTAAACGTCTGATCCTCGCACTTACGACCGGGAAGAAATGTTTAGAAGCCAGTAAAATTATGGAACGATTTAGTTACCCCGCAGAAGAAATCTGCATGACCTTAATTAGTGGCAGTTGTTGGAAAGCAGCATTCTGCTGGCTCTTGGAGGTCCCTGACGATCGCCAAGAATACATTAAGGCACAATTACGTGAACACTTGCTATCCAGTACAGAAGACCTCAAGGAGAATATCGCGACAGTGGCAGAAAAGTTTTCGAGTTCTGTGGCCCGCTTGAAGGTGGTTCGTGAGGAGAAAGCCAAGCGGGCAGCAGCAAACTGTATAAACTTCCTGGATGATACCGACTTACCAATGTCCGAGGCAGGAAGTGTGATTAGCGGGGCATCGCGAACCTGTTCTAGTCATACGACGCGGAGCGGTAGCGTTACAACTATTCAATCGAATCGACAGCTGAGGAAAGCGAATCGCAAACCGAAGTACATTCTTAAACAGGGTTCGCCCTTCGAGGATTTGGCGATTGTACAGGAGTGTGCCCAACTCGTCAAAAACGTACCCTACCTTATAGAGCAAGTTGTATCACTTCTAACCGGTAAATACAATAATGCATGTGACCTCAACTTGTTTAAACAAACCTTATAGTCGCACCAATGAACTTCATACGAACATATTTTTACAAATTCCTTCCAACAATTAGTTTCCGAATACTTAAAGTGTGTTATTTAAATATGCTGACGTATTTTGAAACTTATGTTCCTTTTGCGTACTGTCAGGTCTTCAGCTTCTGTTTCTTATGGATGAAGCGGCTTCGTTGCAGTCGTTCTTTGGCTCTTATTTCAACACCGTGAAGGACAAATACATTCTTGAAGTATGGCCTGAGACACCGAACGGTGGCGTCGAGGTCATTAGCGATGAGGAACTGCGAATAAGACCCGTACTCCCGGTGGAACGGTTTGCGTCAGCGATTTTCTCGGAGCGGTGGTAAAAGCCCAGATTGAGGAAAGGAACAGTTCAGATATCTGCGGTTTGGATAAGATACGGCTGTTCAGGTTGTTGTTTGACACTTGTGTATTATCTATATTAAGTTGTCCTTAGGTAGTACAATATTTATATAAGTACCACGGGGTCAATTTAGTGATTCAGTTATTGAGGTCTGTATAAACGCATTAATTTCTATAAAACGATAGCATGTTTTACTAGTTTTCCTTCCACGGAACATAGAGCGCTAGAAATTTATGAAAATTTATGAAACTTTATGAAAAGTTGTAATAAATATTGATACAAATAATTAGGTCCCATATTTTCTATATCGTGGACAATTTCTAAAAACTAATTACTTCGCTATTTTGAGTCAGAACTAAATTTTATTCTTTCGAACATCATGTATTTTTTCAATGATCTAACTTAAAGCCGTGGATGTGTCCATATGCAAAGCTTCGCTGTTGTTTCGAGCAGATTTAGAGGGCTTTGTGTTACATTCATTAGCTTGTTCACATAGTTCACATAGAGTTCGTCTATGCAGTTGTAAATACAAAACCTTTACATTTATTACATCGTGTATGTACAAATAAAACTGTGAATTCTGTTTACTGCACTACTTGTGTCCTTGTTGATTATGTACTTTCACTAATAAACTATTTAAATGAAGCTTTTAAGGCTGGCCGAACATCGCCCCCATGGGCTTACCTAATGTGTATTTTCTGCACACAATATCCCTATTCGTGTATTTATTAGAAGGCGGGCGCTGTGACTGAATCATGTCTGGACGCCAAAGTTCTTTAGAAGATCGACTCATCAGTGAATATTTGCTACTACTGCTTGAAAGACTTAACATACAGAACCACGATTTGCACCGGCTCCGGTCGACTTATTCAGTCTGCGGAAGTTATGTTGAGAACAGAAGTACTGTATAGCTATAAAGACGCTTTTTTGTGTATTCCGCTGGATTTATCAACTAATTACTTCTCCGGGTCACTTTTAAGGTATGTTACTTGAAATAGGTAAACAGTTTTTGAGCAAAGGCGCCATTTTTTTATTATCAAAATAAAGTTTTTAGTTAACGTCAAACTTATCGTCGAAGGCGGCATGATTTGGAAGTATTATATGAATTACATATATTATAAAGTATAGTAGAGTAATCGTGTTTCGATTCTTTTACAGGTTTTATAATATTATTAGCGCAGATTTGCTTATATTAAACAAATCTTTCTTTTCATTATGTCAAAGCCATAAGGTCGATATTATTTATTTAAAGTACATTAGCGGCGTCGTTAGCATTCGATGAATAAACATTTTGTACCTAACGAAAATTCGGCCTTCATACAAGCGAATCGACAGAGATCGCTATACAAATACATCTATGAGGGTACGGCCAAAGAGTTTACTAGCTATAAGTGTCGTGAATTTTAAACCGTATGGGATAAAATACAATCAAACGAGTTGGAAGTTAAAATTAGGGTATGCTAGAAACAGCAGAGGTGATTTGTAACCTGCGTTTTGCATTATATCATAGACTGGCATGTGTTGTTAATCTATTTTCAAGAATAGATCTAATAAGGATTTGCATTTTATTAAAGCAATTATGTTGTATATAATCTCAGTTTGGCTTAAACCGAAAAGGCATTTCGATTAAGCTTCATGCGGCTGTCTGCGTTGAAGCCAGATAACTGAGCTTACAACATCTAGGCTCATATATAGTAACTTGCAGTTACTAGTAATTACGTTCAATTCGTTTTATTGTTACAGTTATGACTAATGCTCGATAGCTATCGACGCCAAGCGTTTTTGTGTAGCGTTGTTTATGTGTAGCACCAAAAGTAGGATTGAACCGATCGACAGTCGACTGGTTTTATATCTCCAATAATATGACGTCATCTTCGTTTCGGCTTCGTAAACAGCTCAAGCAAATGACATGCGCCATTCTGTCTGTGTGATGAAATGAAAATACGCGCCGAACAGCGCCGGAATATTTTTATTGGAATAGGAGCTTTTAGTAATTTTCTATTAGTCTTGGAGGTTGGCTAATACTTATTATGCTGTTCAATTGGATGTTTACGATTATCCGAAACGTCTCGTGAATTTTTGTGATCGAAGCTGTCTACAGAGGAACCTTAGTGACAGTTGATTTCATTGCACAATCTGCGAATGTGTAAATATATATTTCGAAATTTGAAAAAAAATATTTGAAAGTGTGAGAATGAAAGTACGGACCTTAATCGACTCGATTAAATATTATGTCCTGCAAACTTGTAGTGGGGATTTACATTTCACTTTAAAGGTTTAATATTATTGGATCCGATAACCGTTATTATTATTTAGCTTGCTCTACATATTTTATCTTCCTGTTTATATCACTGTTTTTAAATGAAACCAAAAAGTTTGCGTAATGAAGCACAGGTTTGCGGTACGAGCAGCAACGCTCACTTAGCTATACTATGTACGATTATACGTTTATACGGACTTAACTCTAGGCCAAATCAAGGTATTTAAGGCAGCAATTAAACATCTAGATTTTGTGTGTGCCTTGGGCAAACTACCAATTAATACACATGTGACGCTATAGGCGTTCGAGTCTGTGCATAGTAGTATCTACAGCTTGTTCCAGTGATAGCAGAATAACTGTGAATTTCAGAATATGTCGAAGATAACTATTGAAATCGCGCTCGGCTCTGTGTTTGCCGTTCGTCCCTGCGATGGCGCAGTGGGTAAAATATGTGATTCGTAAGCCAGGGGCACATGGTGGTCTAGGGTCGAATCCGAGTATTTCATGGTGGGAGAGCCCACCGTGTAAGGTAACGCCTAAAAGATTAACTAGTAGACGGAAGGACGAAAATGTGTTTGCCTTCTATGTCTATCAAACCGATAAATCGATGCATGGTTCTCAAAAGAGAACATCCTGCTACGGTTACAAAAGTATGGTATGCCCCTGTTTTTCGAACACCGTAAGGGACTATGTGTTTATGTAAGATACGTTGTATTCGACTATTTAGTGTTTTCCGATACTGTCCTTAGAATTTAAGAGTGCTTTTATATCAATGTATATTGTGTAGTATAATCACATAAATAGCACACTTATCCATACAAAGACGGCACCCACAACTTGATTACTGAGGGATACTCTGCGAAGCTGAGGGCAAAAATCAGGTATGGGATAACCTTCCAGGAGCAATTTTCTATTTAAAAAAAAAGAAGCAGCCAAAGAAAAGGGATTATATTCATTATGATATCATATTAAGATACGGCAGACATATTATGGTTATACATCATGGTGCAATGTAAATGACTTACGCGTTTCATCATTTAGTCACGATGCAGATGGGAATTGATACCTATAGTTAATAAATGGCTGGTTTTCGGTCAATTTTCTCCGCGATTCTTCCTGTTTTTCTCTTAATTTTTCCTTGAACCCTCCTCCTTGATCGTATTATTACTGACTGATCACAGCTAATAAATCCTGGTCCATAAATCTGCCTCGACTGCCGTGGAGACCTGTCTTCTAAATCGACACAACGTGCGATTCATACAGCAGACGCATCAGCTGCTGAAGTGACTAGCCTAGCTTTCCTTGAACTCTTTTTTATTTGAGGGAAGGGAAGTCGGAAAGAAATAAAGAAAAAACAATCACTAACCGTAATCGCACAACTGATAATCATAGCACAATCCACGGAGCCCGCTGTACCATTACACTCTATAAACATGCTTCACAACTGGTAGGTGAAGTGCGCGGAGATAAGAGCCAGGATAATACAGCAGCAGCAGTCTGTTGCTACAAGATGAGGATCATCAAAAGCAAGAAGGTATGCGCTAGACGATTTTATTGCAGTTTGGTAGCAACTATCGTTGCCGTCGGCTGCGACTCTCGACTGCGGAAAGAGTAAGAGACAACGTGGCAGTATCGCGGAAGTTCGACATCCAAAAAATAGAAAAAATGCATCATTTGCTACTACGACAAGCGAATATGTATAAGTAGGTGTGTACGGCGGACGAAGCAGGAAAATCTGCGATGAAAAATGAAGCTGGATTAGTCAAAAGTAGGGGCATATCACAGGGAAATAAGCGGTCACATTAAAGAGACAAAGAGAAACAAATTACAACTGGTGAGCCTGTCTCTAAAACCCAACAAGAGAGATGAATGATTCGATTTTGTTATAGAGGCCTTGACAGCAAATGAAATCTGCGTGGTATTTTTGGAAAGCAGAAACTACATGGAAAAAGAGATTCATAGCCGTGGACGTGGTAACAATCCAGTAGAGAGCACTGTAGACCGCGGAAAACAAGATTGAAGAGGCGGGATTTCAAGGGTTGTAGAGAAAAAACACTGACCGAGTTCGCTCGATAGATAAGCATGACAGTGAATGATGAGCCGTTGGATCAAAGGTAAAATTCATAGCCCGGTCCGTGGAATAATTTGATTAATCTAGATTTTGTTCACTTTTGTTTGACGTCTCAATAGCTATGTAGTCGTTGACGAAGTCAGAAACGAAACGGTTAAGAGTGCTAACCAGAACCAGGTATAGCGGCAATGAGAGCTGAGACCTTCTGCACGCCAATCTGTAATAGGGCAAATTAAAATGAAGAAACTAGTAGTGCTGGGAATTGATAGCAGAACTGGGAATAACTGCATGAGTTTCAATATACCTGTGGTAAAGGGCGCAAGGGATAATAATCTTTTGCACGTAGAACAGATACAATATCAAATTATGTAAAATCTGGTGTGAAAATAACTTCAGGATGACATTAACGCAAAGAAGAAGCAGAATATTCTGGCAGGCTGATAGTATAATGTAATAGATTCAAATAACATATTAAATTATATAACATACTGTTGGTTAACGTAGCATTCTTGAAATTTTGCCTGTACATTATTGATACTACGCGAAAGTGTAACATTAGTCTCGTGTATTATTACTGTGATTGCATTTTTACAAAAAGAACAATTGAGAACAACCTAAATAGTAGTTTTGTTTTGTCGATACATGCTATGCACAAGTTTGTACGCGGACCTAAAACCTCCGGACCTAAAACGGTTGTCTTTAGATTTAAAGTAAAGGAAGCACTTTTAAAATTCATAAGTAATGAATTTGAAATACGCAAAACTAATTTGTCATTTGAAAGAAGTAGCTTTATCGTAGAAATTATTCGGTAGTCCTATGTGTGTTGTTTTTATTTGTTGAGTAACGCTCGCTGGTTGTACGTGGCCAAAAAAAATAAGAATCATGTTCTTTTATGACAACGCTCGGCTTTACACGTGTTTACTGGTTGATGAAATATTAGCTTGTGCCATAAATCCGTAGCGGATTGTATTTCTTGTCGCGGTTTCCATTTTGCTGCAATAAACAAAGTTACTTGAGTTAGGAAAACCAGCGGTCCGCTCCACTTAGGGGCATCCTCCGGCCTTTTTTGAAGCCGTACTTCACTGACTTAGTTTCGTTAAAGGGCTGAATATCATCCAAACTTGTGAGGAAATTTATAGGCAACATGGATCCAATAATACAGTAGGTTACATGATCAGGAAATGGTTTGCTCGTTTGAAGTCACGAATGGAGTGGGTGACTTCTGCATCAAAGGCAAGATATGTGCAGGTCGATTATGAGTACTCTAAACTCTCATTGTGGTCGATCAGCATACACGTACAAGGCCAGATTAAGAATACATAGAAGCATCTAATTCGGCCGTTCAAAGGTATCTAGCGAGTATGTTTTGCCTCACCCAAAATATAATCTCGGCTTTGTTCCTTCCGATTATAACTTCTTTCGATCCATTGCAGCAACTTTCTTAATGGGAAGAATTTTTTATCGTTAAGTAGTGTGAAAGAAACCACACTGACGAGTTTCTCGGGAGTAAATATGTTCACTTTGATTGAATTAAATTGAAAGGTGGGCAAGCTTCATCGCCAAAAACGATTAAAATATCATTGATTGAGGCTGTCTGGGTAAAAAATTGCTTCCATCTGAAGTTAGGTAAAATTCTGCTGCAAAGATAGGGGAATAAACCATACTCTGATTTATATTCTTTATGAAAAAAACTCGTATGGATTTTCTTCGGTATCGTGCGATAACGATCTGATGATTGTTAGATCGTGTTGTAAGTACTTCTACGTTCAAGCGAGTAGTTTCATCATGATACAATGAAACAAAGGTTCCTTGCTCTTTAGCATGTGCACCGCACCGGCCGGCAATAAATTATGATGGAGGAATCGTTTCAAGAATTATTGGAGCTTTTTTCAGAAATTAGACATTATTTATGCTGCCAACAAAGCTTATCTATAGCTCCCAATAACGCAGTCGTATGTGATGTTTCTCTCATGTACTTCATACATTTTTTGGTACGCACTTCTCTCTCCTTAACTGCTCATAAACATCTTCGTCATTATTTTAGAAAGGCACTTTTGGAACCTGCGCCAAATCGAGGACACCAAATGGACATCGGTATTTATTATCTACCTGTGATGTTTCTGCTTCTGCGCCTATAAACTGCCGAAGCCTTTTCTACGTCATTCAATTCCTTGACTAAAAATTTATTCGCTCAATACTTTTGCTGAAATACCGCCGTAATGAATACATTTCGTTAGCTGTTGCCATAAACCAGTGTTGCTATTTCTGCTATAGCAGGCCATTTATGCCAGCGGCATGAGCCGCCATGATTGTTGAGCGCAGGTTGGTTGTTGATTGACACCTACGCCGGATAGCAACTCGATGGGCGGATACGAATGAATAGATACTTTGCTAATTCAACGTACTTCAGCTGACACGGCTTTAATGTGAAGTTAGTAGAGACAGTAACTTCGTGCCGGATAAAATCGACGAGTACTCGTGTTTATGAAGTAGAAGTCCAGCTGACTAATGCGCAAAAGAAGTGCTAGCTGTCGTGGCTGAATTAGTTTATGAAAAATCGAATACAAGATAACCATGTGAATTCCCTCAGTCTTTCCTGTAGATATTTCAAACAGAAGGGAAAATGTAGTTCTGAAAAGATCTCTTGAAAAGAAAACCTTCCCTTGCCGAAGTTCATTAACGTGTGCATATTTCGGGATACGACTGCCTATGATAATGATCCATCGTAATAATAACAGTTATAACGGTGGCAGTAGTAATAATAATAAGAGTAGTCATTACCTTTATTATCATGAGACAAATATACGGACGAACTGACCGTGTCTATTAGATCTGTGTGGGAATTAATCTTAGCTTAGCTATTACGCAAGTCCGAATTTAAATGCTTATGTCTTTCTCATACAAATATTTTACTAGAGATACGTTTTGGATATGGCACTTTTTTAGAATCAAACAAAATCAGCTTTGGCCAGTCTGTCTAAGCCAAGATGCAGTTGCTCTGTTCCCTATGTAGTTATTCCTATTGCTATGTTATTGATAATTAGTTTCTACTTTATTTTAAACATTTTCAGCCCTTGGTATTGTTCTGTTTCTCATGCTACAAATTTTTCTGCCTTGCTTCGACTCTTCACTTACCGTGAACATATTTTAGATTATTCTATTATTTATAAATACGCCGAGCCGGTAAGCCTGACGCCTTAATTCAGCATTGCTTGTTGTAAGGGTAATATTCTATGATCTAGATGTCGTTGACGCTACAAAAACTTTTCGTTAGCTTAAACTAAGGGATGCACAAAAGATTACAAATGTCAAAAAAGCAATTTTTGAGACGGATGACACGTCCGTGCATATGTACAATATCTACCTTAATTTGGATAACAAGATTTTTCTTTGACTTTAGAATATTTCGGTTTCGACGCATTGGCCTAGACTGCTGAAGTCCCTAGGTAAAAGCGCAGTGGTCTGGTTCAAATCCCGCCATTGATATGAAGTGCAGAACATATATAAAGAAAGACGATCCATCAGTTTTGTGATTCGTATATCTAACGATTAGCAAACGAATGGTACTGTCCCTTTTGGAATTCTTTACATAAAAAAATGCTCCTTTCAAAGGGGTAACAAATCAAGATGATAAATGATGACAAAATATGATGTGTATGGTGCACCATGCAGCATAGTTTTTGTCGTGTTAATACTTTTTTTTATTTTGATTCATCTGTTCCTGCTAAAAAAACATACGAAAATTACACTCACGTATCAAGGATTGGACCCCAAAAACTTCTTCGAAAATGAATAAAAGATTCTTACTGAAGCTTTTTGATTACTAATATCTTTCAACAGCAGAAATTATTTTTAGATCCCAATTAATGGAAAATTTGAGCTACCTACCGCCTCAGACTCTTGTTCGGGAACTTAATTACATGATCGAAACAGTTTGTTGAAATTTAGTCCAGATCACCAGAACCACTGGAAGTGTATTCCCCAAAAATCCAGTACAGACTTCACCTGATCACGCAGTCTTCTTCTGGTTAGCGCTCATCGAACACCAATATACCTTCTTATCAGAATAAGAACCGAGACTCCCTTCTTATCAGCAAAGATAGCAGTGTTTTTCCTCCTTTCTCACTGTTGGTGGTGATTGTCGACACGTATTTTACAAGGACCGCTAGTACGGGCGAGGCCGTCGGGTTGCCATCCATCGACGCAAAATGACGTGCGTCTACTAAAGCAAGAGAAGATCACGAGGCGATATAAATGCAGCAAGACACCAAAAGAAAGACAACAATCTCAACTGTGGCGCAAAGTAGCTAAGAGCTCTGGACTAGTCTACAGCAGCAGACAAACAAGGCATATTATGGTTCGACTGGTGAGTGAACCCGTTTAAGGATACATTAAAGTAGGATATCAGAGCAGTCACAATAATGGTGGCTTTCTCTAAGACCTCATTGGGTTTTGGGGTGCTGCTGTAGAGTAACCGTCGACATAGAGAACTCTATAGATAGTTCTTTCATTTTTCGTTCTTTGTCAGTGTTTCGAAGGCGCTGAAGCGATTCTCATTTGGTCTTGATCGAGTTGGTTAAATTTTATTTTTCTAATAGAGGACATCGCGTAGCCGATGTATATTTATGTTATAAAACGGCTATATGAGCAACCTTTGCTCAGCACGTCTTTTATAAGAAAGACATCGTATATAGACACATTTATGGGGCCACCATGATCTCATTAAGAGGTCTCGCGTATACATTTTCACGCTGGTATTGTGGCCTTCCGGTGTTCTAAAACGTGCTTATATATAATTTTTATTTTGATTAAGGGATAGGTGCCTTTTAGGTACACTGCATTATTTTGAAAACATTTTGTGCAACAGCTCGTCGTGTTTAAGACGTTTGTCTAAAAGCTCAAGCCAACAAACAAATGCAGGTTTACTTTTAGTTGACTGAAAGATTATACTGTTTGTTTGTCTCTGCAATTACGCCTAGTTAAATATTACATGTTATCTTACCAGAAAATAATTTTTTCGTTCAGTTCAATGTTGTTCTCTGCGCTTCCCTCGTGGCCGCAGTCATCGCTGCCCCGGCCGCAGAGGAGACGGTAATTTCCGCGGCTCCTACTGCCGATGCAAATCCTGATGCCAAATCCATTGATGGCGAAGAGAAAGTTGAAGGTCGCGGGCTCGGTTTTGGAGGACCTGGTTTCATAGGCGGTTACGGCCCCGGATTTGGAGGCCTTGGCGGTTTTAGCTACGGTGGCCTGGGCGGATATGGTGGAGGTTATGGTGGAGGTTATGGTGGAGGCTATGGTGGAGGCTATGGTGGAGGTTACGGCGGAGGAAGCCGCGGTAGCTATGGATTGTTCGAGCAAGTCGGCACCTATGGAAGTTACGGACAAGGTGGATTTGGCAGATACGGTGGAGGTTATGGCGGGTACGGTAAGGAGTACGGGGGTTACAACGGTGGAATTGGATATTACGGCTAAGCCTATATGAGCATGAACAGCTGCTTCAGAAGTGTTTACCCTTGACGGATGCGCACTCATGACGTGGACCTCGGAAGTCACCGTGAAAGTACAACAAACCGAGGAATCGGAAAATGAAGAAAGGAGTGAGTAGGAAAGATCACGAATGGATGAAAAATAGCACTGGTCGCTAATTGTCAATCGTTTGTTGATTCTTATCAACCGGTGCGCTGGCTGATGCTCTTTGGAGGAGTATAAAAAAACATTAGTACAAGGATTGTTGTACTTGCCTTTTGGCTTCGTAAAGATCTCGCGGGTGTACGTCCTAAATGAGGGTGACGATGGAAGCAACGAGGAAGATGAGATCAGCAATAAGAACAACAACAATACTGTCAGCAAACAAGACGAAGAAGCAAACTGCGTAAAACTGTGATATGAATACCTACCTGATAAATATGGAACCAGCCAAATGGTCGCTTGCTATTAAATGGCTATTGGTTGAATCACTGGAATTACTTAATAAATTTAGATCGACCACACTAACTGAATACAACGCAAGCGTGTCATGATCTTACTATTCTTTATATGTTTTTGTGAGACTAGAATTAATACGGTACCAATTAAACGTTGTTCTGTACATGCGTGCGCATGTAATGTTGAAAGATAGATACCAGTTCATTGTACGAACGGTAAAGGCTCTCAAGGAGCATGTTTTTCTTTGCTTCCTTGATGTCCGTCAATTTTTTTTAGCATTCTTGCCCATAAATTAGATTCAGCTTGTAACGCCTTTAAGATAAACACCAGAATGCGAGCCACCCTTTGTTATGACTGGGCGCAAGTCAATGAAAATCTTGAAAATACAAAATCAAAACAAGTATCAACGAATTAGCTATTAATTAGGCCTGATTGTTTGAAAGTCCAAAAAGTTTTTACAACGACGGCGCAGAGAAGGTCTGCAATGATTGAACAAGTAAACGGCCAAAAAGTTGTTCTGAGTATTGGCTTATTCGATTACTGAAGACGGTGTAAATACTGATCAGTCCATAAATTTCATACGACTCATTATATGCATAGATTTAATGACAATATACTCTAATAGAGCTTCGTGTCACCGTCGACATTTTAAAAGTTTAAATCATGGTAAAAATAATTTCGTTTGGTATTATGAGTAATACTACTATTCCGTAGGTGTCCAAAGTAGTGGAAAGGGTAAGTTGCATTTGTGTGGTAAGGAGACATCAATTTTATATTTAGTGACGTTTATCATCGCATGAAGCTTGATACCTCGTTGGAGGAAAATTTCGCCGTACTAAATCTACAAGGACGGTAATGGCGAAGAATACGATGTACATTTGTTGTGTATCGTAAAGCTGATAATATAGTATCAGTTTTCACTGAGCAACCTATTACGATGCTGCCTGCATTTGAAATAGGACAACTGTCTTCCTTGCGCAAATACCTCCGTACCTGCTGATACGGAAGTATTCACGCAAGTTAGCTAACTTAACCTAGGATAAAATTTTATAGTAATAAATATGCATAATTAAAATATATTCGATATGTACTGTAAAAGACTACACACAAACATAGCGTTGACAACTTTACAGCCCGCTTATTGTCTGGTTATAACGTTAAAAGGTCGCTACTTCAATCTTTTGTTACCAGAGTTCCTACAAAAAGTTCCCAATCGAAAATGTCACAAACCATCAACAATTAAACCTAGTACTTCTAATCGACTTCTGGACTTGATGGTGAATCTAATCAGTAGCTTAATAGCATTCTAATAAAAAAAACTGTTAGGCTTCTGACAAACGTATTTCACTCGTACATTGACTTGCAGGTTCAGCCCTAATAAATGTCAGCTTCGGCTACGCTAAAAATAATAATAACTATTATCAACAACGTTTCGGGGTATAAAAGTGTTCAAGGAGTTTTATTTTTCAGGTTTATTTGGAAACACAGCATACAAAAAAAAAAAAGCGGTGCATACAACTGTCTCAATATGTATGTGTGTTTTTCTGTATATGCATTCGTTTGTTTGTACTTGCGAACTTATATAATGGGAATACGTTTTTTCAGAGTGTTTCACGTTCTTTACGGGTTTAGCAAAAGGCCGACACTAAATACAAAGCGCGCACGTTACAGAGTGCAACAAAATACAAAAAGTTATTAGAGATCATTAGAGTAATTGTTTTTATCAAATACACTTGTCTGGGATAGTGCCTGCCACTCAGTAGAGATATCCTGAAAGTTTGTCAGTGATAAAGTATGAAGCGGTGTAGATTGTTGATCTATAGCAAGCTATTTGTTCCATACTGAGAATAAAGGCGAATAAACGTAAACAGAAAAACAATACCGGAAAAGTTTGCTCAGGCAGGAGATAAGGTTTCGCGCTTATATCTACTTAGTTAACCGTGCAAAGGCAATCACGCCAGCTGTTACAAAATTGTTTGCTCCGTGAAAACTATTGGGTTCGTACAAGGATCGTCCACAAGTAACGAATGGGGTTCACTTGTCAGCTTTGCTAAGGCTTTTTGCATGTATAATCATGGCGTACATATATATATATACTCATATGTATAATTACATCTGGCCTACAGTTTACTTATCCTACTAACGTTGTAGTGGTTCTATGGCGAACAGTAATAGCTGTTTGAAATCGTATAATCGTGGTTTCAGTTGCACTTATAATTAATCGACCAAACCGTAGATAAGATAAGGATCATAGAATCAGTAAATTATCAATCGACTCTTGTGCTGTTGTTGTATATTTGTTAGTGTCATACCTTATACGAGGTCATGGATGCGAGTTGCTTTTGGGTATTTCTTCATTTCTATTTGCAAATACTTTACATTATTAGAGAGCATATAATATCGCGTTTGAATCGTTCCCATAGTCCGTCCAAGTGGGGGATGGAGCGTTCTCTCTTTATACCTCTCGCGTTGTCACTGACTTACTCATCCGTCATCCGCTAACTCGAAGCTACTAACTAGAAAAAAAACACCTAATTAATACAGTATCATAGTAATTATAATAATTATGTAATTATAAATGGTTTGCTACACTGATTGAGTAAAGTTTACTATCTAGACTTGCGTATAAGTCACAAGGGAGGTGACGAGAGGCTGTAGAAGCGGGCCGACGCACATTAAATATGGAGATGTTTAATGAGATTTTTCTCACTATTTGTTGTATGAATTGTCCGCCATACCTATCTCCGTCGATGTGTTTTCCCCGCGGTCCTGCGCTACCTGCACATATAACTGATAAATGGTCAAAGGCCGAATCTGTCGACCATTTCGGATTGCGATTGTGTACAACGGGACGTCTTAGCTTACCTTGATTACCTTCAATTTACGTCAATCTTTCCTTGATCTGGAAACGCGTTTGCGTTTAGTCAGTCGTCCTATATATTTGAAATACCAATAGTCATCACATTATTGCTTCTTTTTAGCCCTTTCACAAATTCGGTGTTTCCCGGTAAAGGCGCTCACCGGCTCCCGTATCCCCGCGTATAACAGTCTTTCAGAGCTATGTTCTTTTATACTGTTCTCTCATCTATATGAATGGAAAAATTGTGTTCCATGTTGTGGGCTTACGCTTGTCGTTGTTATAGACTTCGCTCAATTTTTCTATCCGCTTAATTTTATCATGAACATCTTTAATACTCTATTACTGCTCTAGCAATTATTGTACGTAAATAAGCGCTACATAGTCGTGCCACTTGACATCGAATCCTAACCTCATTGTCATCTTACTCCCCTTCCTCGTTCGAGATCAAATCATTGCTTTCTCTCATTTTCCTCTATATATCAAGAGCGCAGCTATGCCGCTTTTTTGAGAGGTTCAGACCTTCTGCGTTTACCAGCCTCAACAGATTTTCTCTATAGATTAGAAAGCAAGCCGCCGGTTTCGCCTTTAAGAGTTTGTCCGTATTTGCTGGTCTATGGCGTATATTCCATATTAGAAGTAACAGTCCGCGCGGTCCACCAATGGCATATCGCGTGTCAGGACTGAATGCAAGTTTTTTGTACAGATAACGTAAGCTCTTAAACTGGACTCTGCCTATTTGTAGTACTTGAAGTTCGTAGTTCTAATTTTCTTCGATAAACGACTGTTATTTTTTAAGTTATATCTCCCGAACTTCAACAACGATTGAACTGAGCTCTTGGACTAATGACCGCTACTAAGTGCGACTTCCCCATATTTTTTGTCGGTGCGTTGAATAAATTTTTTTTACGAGGTGTTCCTCCACTTAGAACAGATGTTTCTAAACCGAGTTAAGCGAAAGATCGTTGGGGTTGTTTAGCAACGGGGGTGAATTAGCGCATTTTTGCTGTTTTTGTTCCCAGCTCTTGCGTGCGGTCTTGTATCGCTCCATCTCGTGGCACCAATCCGAGTAGATTTTTCGATACTCGCCCTCATTTGGAGCGGTACATGTCTGTGTGTCTATGGTCACGTTGTGGGCGCAAACTGGTCCACCTGTTGGTGTCAGCAACTGTTCGTAGCGACCGACGTCACGCTGATTTGCGCCCATGATTACCTGAACAGATGTGTGAAGGAATTATTAACATTACATAGGTTTTTGTTAGCATATTTAAGCAGCAGCGATGTCAGTTACGAATTAAACCGAGAGCTGATAATGCAACTATGTCTCACCAAATACAGAAAGCAATACGTGAGCTAATGATGGATTTGATTTTTTCCTATTATTACGTGTTTTTACACGTATTGGACCTGCAAAGTACTATCTAGGTTACTAGAGATAATACTAATCGAAACATGGTATACAATATACTTCCACGGATCAAACAGAGTATTAGATAATACGTAAAATGCGCACCAGTCCTCCATCCCATGTGAGGAACTTGCGAGGTCCCATCACCACTTCAACTCCATTGTGTCTCCATTGCGGCGGTTGCCCCTGGGGATGCCTCTGGGGGTCAACGCAGGTAGCTAAATGTAGTGTCTCGCCCCAGAAAGCACGGAGTTCACGACGCTTCAGCGAAGCTGCGCATGCAGATGGCATTTGACCAGCGACGTCCTGAATGAATCCTGGAAAAACGTTATTTGTGGATGTTATAAAAGATGTGTGTACGTACTTTATGCACATTCGTATATATATAATAGAAAGCACAGTGGAACGCTCAAGGAGTATGAGAGAGGCAGGTGGTGGTTGCAAAAGAAATGTGTCATACATATAACTGCTTGTTCCTTTGTTACCACTCACCGGTTGAGTAAGGTCGGCATTCCTGTTGTTCGGGGTCCCAGCCGCAATATGGGTCACGGACGCACTGGTTACAAGTCTTATGGCGGGTACGGCACATCACTACTTCAAGTTGAATAACGCCTGCGCAAATGATATGCGCAAACCTATATTAACCTTCACAGTTTAATAGGTTCGCTTTTAACATAGTTTTTCCGATGGCAACTATTGGAACCTATAGCATTCGTTGTATACAAGGTGGAGCAAAAGTTTATCGACAGTTGGAGAGAAATAGCTTGACAAATTACAAGCCTGCACCCTACTTTTTACTACATCTTACTATTTTAACAGCTGCTAAATGAAGATTTTCAAAATGTCGAATGACTTCTTTCCTAACTCCTTCTTTAGCTTTCTTGACCTAACCTAACTTGTATATACATATTCTTCTTTCAACGAACCAGAGTCAGAGGCAACGAACAGCGCCCGATGCTTTGCGGAGAACTCCATCGAGCGGACGGGTTCAGGAGAAGTAACTCGCATCACGTCAACCAGCTCCGAATAGGGCTGCTGGCTGCCCGTGTTGCCCTGGACTAGCTTAAACACGCGACCATCACGGGAGCCCGCATAATAGATCGTGTATTCAACTCCATCAACCTCCTCGCGATGAACGGCTAACGAGGTGAAGACGACGTTTGCCCTGTAATCACCGATCGATTCCGATTAGACTTAAATGCGCTCCATTAAGCGGCCTGGTACTGGTTCCGTAATACTATAATAGGTACCCTATTCAGCTTGAGGGCACGTGGTGGTCGAGGCTCATATCCGGGCCTGGACACACTTCGTTTTATGCTAGTTGAAGCTAGTCATCTTGTGTGAAGCCCACGTACCTCACAGAGAACTCAAAACAATAAGTAACTTTTTAGTGCCTCTATTAGATATGTGTCATTTAAAAACGTCTGTGGATTATTCGAAAATCTGGATTGCGAACTCTTCTTACCGGTGGTACACAGGTCGTCCTCCAGCATGACTAACAGCTGAATCCATCAACGAATGTCCACGAATAAAGTTCAGCACAGAATCGGGTAACGTTTGCGTGTCGTTAACGCATGAACCGGGTCGAGGCTCGGGTACTTTCGAGGAGAACACCGGTAGCCACGATGAAGATGACGTCTCTTGCTCTTTGAATTTTCCGTTGAATACTTCGTTGATCGAGTCAAGCGAGAAAGCGCAGACGGCGGAGCCACACAACCCGTTCATTGGTGTGGTGAACACTGCGTAAAACATGCGATCATCTCCAGGAATCTTATAGACCGACTGGATCTCGTTGAAGTAGAAGGGATAGTCGCCCGGAATGGAGCAGTTGAGGCGTGCTTTCAAATAAGTGGCCCAGTTCTTGTTGAGAATGTTCTTACCGCCGGTGTCCCTCTTGCAGATGCGGGCCACTCGGGAATAAACAGATTTACCGCAATTAATGTACTCGACAGCGCTCTCTCTAAAGAAGAAGTACACGTACTCGCCGATGTCGAACGAGCCGACAAAGTTCGGCCGATCTAACCATTTCGAATCGTATTTAATGGTTCGCTTGAAATGGTATTTCTTCTGTCGGGTCGTTTGATCGTAGAGATCTGTCCTGAAGATCACGGTATCGGCCTTTGTAAACTCGGCCACCGTACCAGAGTATAGACCGGGCAAGTCACCAGGATTGCCTTTTTCGACCCAGACAGCCGTTGAGTTGTCGTCGGGATCGAATGGACACTTGGCAACTCCACTGCCCACTCCAGGGATGGTGTCATGGACATGACTCAGGTTGGCATGTACTACCCAATCCTTCGGGTTTTGCGCATTTGTACCGCACACATAAAGGCGATCCCGACCCATTGGCTGGATAACCTTAATATGGTTACGGCATTCATACTGTTCGCTTTTTCCTTTCGACACGCAGCTTTGCACGTTATGCGGATTTAGGGCCAACGAGTCAACGTCACATCTGTAAAAATGTTTTGGCTTTAAAGTATATAACCTACTTTTGACAGTTAACTGTAGTTTCGGAGCAAATTGAAATGTCTCCTAAGATGACATACTAACGTATAAATTTATTAGCAAAAAAAGTGTGTTGTCGTTACCTCGTTCGGTTAATATCCTTGGTTGGCAGCTTGAAGACCCGATCCATAGCGCCCACGTAAAGGGCATCATGGCGGTGGTCAAGGTAGAAGGTACGGTAATGGAGTTTACCGCAAGAGAAAAGACGCACGTGGGCCTTTGACACGAGATTGGTAGCACGACAACCGACTATTGCTAAGGCAGCCACACCCAACAGCGTCGCGTACGAAGGTAATGAAACCATCTGCAAGATTTAACATATCAAAGGTATTAAGAGGAATAAAGTAAATTTGTGTTTTGAAGTATTTATAGGTTTTAAATCGCCAAGTACGGCAAAACAAAAACATGACACAGGCATGTAGATATGGTATTGCTTCATACCTGTCGATGGAAGCTGCCCCAAGTCTATCTAATGTCAATATACTTAGTGTAGCTTCACGTTCATTTGATACTTATGCTATTTTAATTACGTCATTTCCACATTTTTCTCTGTACCTGTCATGTATGTATATATGAACTTGTAACTCTTTTGTCCATTTTTTCGATCCATAAGTGCGATATGACGATACAACGTTACCCAAACTTAACTCGATTAAGCGTTTTAATTTAATAGATTTTCCTAGTACATGACACAATCTGTATGTATTTACGACTGTGAGAGTGATCAATCGAGTTCCTGCATCGCGAGCCAAGCCTTTTAGACTATTAATTAATGAAATAGTTAATGGAGAGTTCACGCACGTACTGGAGTCCCTTCCTTAAAAGGTAAAATCCTTTTTAGCGTTTAAGACTTTTAAGCGTTACAAACATGATTAATGAAATATCATGAATAAACATGGCCTTGGTAAAATTTCGACTTATCGGAAACTGGGTCTAGTAGAAAAGGCCTTTCATTCAAGCTCGTAATACTAGCATGCATCTTATGCTAATAAGGCCGTCTATCAATATACCTATTTTCAAATTCAGTATCTTCTTAAGAAACTTTGTTTAACGATTTTCAGTCACATAGGCTTAGGGGTGTTTTTCTAAAGCTGCTAGCTTTTGCTCCCTGATAGCAGTACCATTTTGCAGCAAATAACATATACACGATAGCAAACCTCGAAACACAACGCTCAAAACACATGCTAATTCCGACTGACGGTGTCTCTTGACAAGCTGTCTGCGTTTGTTTCCCTGTGTCATCTCTGATAGAGTTCTGCCATTTTCTTATGTTTGCTACTCCGTAGAAGCAGTGCTTTATACCAAGCATAGCTATGCTGCACCGTCTCATTGACATCCGTTGCACCGCTACTTGCAGTTTCGAAATCCGATCATCGCTCGCGACGAACTGTCTGTTAGAAGATCGGACGCATACCGATCGTCAGTAGCGAAAATGGTGACCGAAGGCACTGCTCCGTTCGAATCAATGTTACGACGGTCAACAACCCCTCGTCGAGATTCACGCGAAAAACAACGAGACCATGAGGAATACATTGTTTTCTTTCCGGCTACTTTATTGTCAGGCCTGAACGTCACTGCTTTGATAAGAGAAATTGACGGTGGTGTATTCGACGAATTTAGGTTGGTGAATCTATACGAACCGGTCGTGCTGACCATAGCAATCGCCACGAAATAGGCATATATGCTTAGATTGATCAACAAGGTCTATTTGGTGCATTTTCTCATATTATGATGTCATTGTCTTTTCTCCGCAGTTAGCTATTAGAAGATACATAGAATATCAAAAGATCCGAGTCATTTAGGAAAATATTTATTCATTTAAATGAATAAAATTATATGTTTACTATGTGAAAGGACTGAGGATAAATAGTACAGGAAATAGATAGTTGGTAATTTATGTTTATACTAAATTTGTGTTGCTCTCGCCCTTAAAGTAAAAAAACTAACAAGCCCTCGTCGTAAAGTAAAATACGTGACGTTACCAAATTGATTAAGTCATTGCAAGTCTGAGCCTTAAATATTATAAGTGCGGTAATTTATCGACGATATCATAAGCATGCAACTCTTGCGTGTTGTAACATTTAGCTTCCACCAAGAATTCCAGCTGCTGAGATACTGGTAACGTTTTTATCTGACAGATAGTTGGTTTATTATATTGCTACCTACAGGTAAAATAGAACACGGGATTAAGTTTACCTCAGAAAAAAACTATACCTATTATGGGAAGGATTTATAAATTTCGCAAGCGATACCGTCACTATATATCGTAGCTATAGTTGTAATAATCCGAAAAACCGCAAGATGGTTTTTGATAATTTTTACTAAACAGGCTTCGTCTTGTGAGGAGATAAAATATAATCCTTGTGAAACTTCACATTCACGTTTAAAAATGCACTTTAAAGCTGTTCAGAGGGACTGCGATACGCGCCGTTATGAAACGCTTCTCAAGCAACGATCCGCGTCTGGATAAGGGTATCGGTGCCATAATTAAATAGTTACGTTTAATTAATGATATAAAACATAAATTATTTTCCAGATGCACGTAAGTAACGAACAAATTTGAATCATTTTGCGGATTCTACCGGGCCTTTTTTTATAGTATAATTATGATGACCAAAACCTTATGACTATTTAAGTATTTAACTCGCTTAGTTCATTTGGGTTAATATTCCCCATGTTTTCCTTGTTTAATATTTTGAGACCTTTCTTGTGCACGTGCAATTATATGATTCAGTCACACTCGACTACTTTGTACGTGCATCTTGCACTCATGCGGGTAAAATGTCGACGGATTTAACCTGCTCTGCGGCTCATTTCTGCCAGAAATCCTAAACACGCGTAGACAAAAGTGTATTCTTGCAAAATGATTTTACTCAGATTAAGCTGTGGTTAATATTATGTTCGTGCAGGTTCACTGTGTGACGGGCTCCGCATTGCCAATTTCAGCTCAAGCTATACCTAAACGTGCGTTCCGTATTTTCTGCAGTTGAACTTTAAATGTCTTCGATGTTTGTAATCAGCAACAGTAGATGTTCCTCGAAAGAGCAACTAAATCTACGTCGGAGTCTTCGTAGAAACAGAATGCGACTATTTGACGTTCATACTTACTGCTCCGAACACACTCTCGATTATCGTATCCGAATATAGCAAAGCGATCCGGAGCTCCCTAGAGCTAATCAGTACAACTTCACACAAATAATGTACATTAAACTTAAAGCAGTTAGCTTACATGATATTAATAATAATAACGTGGCCTGCGACCCGATCAGCCGGACCTTACCGTTCGATCCGGTTAGTATTGTCCGCGTCGACCTGCTCCTTACGCCTTATATCGCCTTCGAACGATTTGCTTTACAGACGCATTTCAGTGATACCTTTCCCACACGAATTCACTCCCACACCTATTCTCACATAATCTGCAGCGTTATACATAAACAGATAATCATCCACGGTCCGAGAACTTTCACCGTCTAACTCGACGGATTTGCAAACACGACAGCTGCCGGCTGAGATGAAATGCCCTAACCAAAATTCGACCGTTATCCGAACACTCAGTTTCCCACTCACTTCGAGGCACAATCAGTAACGGGGTAGCTTGCACTGTTTCGACGTTCGTTAGCCTTTATCTGGGGCACCGAAGGGGATAGATTCCCCTCTTTTTATATGGCAGGCACCACCGACGCGTTCTCTTCGTTCAAGAACTAGTCTTGACGAAAAAAACCGTTCGGCTGTGCAGCCTACGAGCTAAAACTGCAGCATTAATAATACACCTTTTTCTGGGGTAGCAAGGGACTCTCCACAAACGGCCTCATTGAGGCGGGCCGTAGCAGGAATAACAGTGATGGTCAGCAGTACATCACCAAATACACGACCAGAGTCTGGCGGAGTTAGGTAGCCAGTCGTCCGTAACCGTCGAGTCGCACCAGGTCCATACAAAGCAAACACTCAATAGATAGCCAGCGACCCTCAGTTTTACGCCCGCTCTTTCCACCCGTAGACGGACCAGCTGCGACAAAAGTAGTGCCGACGCAAGGAAAGAAACAATGGCGTGGACTGAGATCCGGAGATTTTCAAGTGGGAAACGATGCGTTATACGCTTCCAGATATGATTCAAATACCTCTCTTGCCGCCTGATACGATGTGTGTGTCGATGGCTCTTGTTTAGGTAAAGCCTCATGATTAGACACTTTTCTAATACATAAATAGAGCACTAAACTGAAACTTGTGACAATGGCGTCAATGCAATAGTTACTGGACGAAAAATTTCGACTTCGCTTACGTTTCTGATACATCTATGCTGTTCGAGTTTGAAAACAGCACTTACTTGTCGATTATTTCCGTATTAATACAAAGCAGTTAATTGTATTTTAAAGACAGGTATTAATATAATTAATTGTAATTCGCTAGATGCATCTCATTCCTTAGTATGCACACTAGAGGACGAAACATATGAAATTTTAAATTTATATGTTCCGATACGGATCTTATTTTAACCATAACAGCGATCCCCCCTTCAGCCGTGAGTCGGTACTACTGTTCTGTACCGCCACACACTGTCGACAGGATGAACGGACCTGGGGTACACCAATTTGAAAGTAGCGCGCGAAGATTTCTCGAGATTGATTCTTCGTTTGTCCGTTTTTAGGTGTCTCACAACCCTTCGGAAAGCCTTATTGTTTTCGAATTAATCTGCCAGGGAGTATAGTATTGAAGTTCGCTTACGATATAACATTAATCGGTGTATCACTTATCGCAGAATAAGTATCCATTATTCTGAGTTTGGAATTATTAGATTCAGTTTTAAAAGCTGCGCCGAGCCAAAAAGCTGAAGTTCACAACAGTATTTAATGTGCCTTTTTGCCATAAGGCTTGTCTGAGCTTTTGTAGATATAAACGTGGGTATGGATAGTTACTGTAATACCTTTATATGGCCTTCAAGTGTTTGCGACGTAAACAGTAGAAGAACACGATTCACAAGTTATTTTGTTTTTTTATAGATTATAATTACCCAGCCCTCGATACTACTTTTAATTGCCGTTTTCTCATAAGGCCGACAATGAAAATCTAATTCAAGGGAATTTTCAACAAACGAACTTTCTAATTAGAAATGGTTTGGGGCGACCAATGCTTTCATTGGAAAAGTATTCGTTAAAAAGGGGCAATTGTACTCACATTTTCACTAACGGCACAGTAAGCTTATTACGATAATTGTGTAAGGGAACACAATAGACGTAGTTAAAACACGATTCAAGGGTAATAGTGGGGCAGCACATTCATGCTAACTAATAAAAATAAAATCTTCAATTTAAGTTACTTGAATCTATACTATCTAAAAATTGCCATCCAAAGATGAGGATTGTTATAGAGAGATAAGAAAAATCTAAGACTCAAAGATAAGCTATCGCTAGCTCTGATATAATTCATGAAAAATGAAAAAACGGTCTATTTTATTACCCGTTATTTTTACCAAAATCGTTTGCTGATTATTATTATTATATACCATATCAAAGCACGTTCTTTGGGTTGTGAGCACGTTGCCAACGTCTGGTTTGAAAATATTATCTCCAGCTTGGGTTTTGAATTAGATGTACGTGATTAGAAAAAGATTGCAAATTTAGATATTTTCTAAAATAAAAAGAATACAAAAGTACAGCATAACAATTAAAAACAGACTATAGAAAAAGAAACGCTTCATTTTTTTTATTTGTATGTATATAATTATAAATTTAACTGGGGATAACGAAAACGTCAAAAAATCATTTCCAATAGAAGTGGCATCAACCACTATCGTTGCAGTGTTACAGATTGGACTTCACTTCTATATCGGTGAAAAATAGATCATTACCAGTCCGTCATCGGGATTGAATCTATTTGAAGCAAATACTGTTTTTGGAATTTTCAGTTTTTTGGTCGACAGATCGAAGAGAAATGAAATAATTAAATCTAACATAATACCAAAAATTCAAAGGAAAAACATGCGTTCCTCAAAGTCAACTTCACGAAATCATTGTGGCTTCTAAATCGCAACTTCATTTACGTATGCAGAAACAAGTGAAGTAGACATTAAGTCAAAAAACTTCCGATGAACTTTATAATAAACGACAGATATGCGAAGCAAGGCTTACGACACGGAATACTGAAAAATAAGCGTCTAAAGTGACGGTTAACCGGTATTAGAGGGTTTTTCGTCCATTACATTAGCCGGACGATATTATAACAACTGTTAAATGAAATACTTAGAAAGAGAATGCCCATCTTTAAAATAAAAATCACTCAGCTGGCAAATGACACCAACTTCGCAAACCTAGGATGGAACTCTAGCCGCCTACAAAAAGAAGTTGAGGACTAAAGCGACTATTCAGCGTAGACCGTTGCAGGAAAAAAAATTATATGTATGTACCTGTAAGAGTATATGTTGGATAGGTAAGAGATGTAAGAGAACCAGGTCAAGCTGATGCGCTAGCAAGGCTTTTCGTCCTTTGAAGTCCTTGTACGAGAGTACTTGTAAATATATGGTATTTTCGTATCCTTTTTCCTTGTATATGTGTAAATCTTCTTATAACGAGCTAGAAAGACGTAAAATTCAGATCTTATAGAATCCCTGCTCATACTGAATGCGAAGGGAGTGCTTACATGTGTGGCACGATAAAATAGCCTCGTTTTCATTTCACCTTTTGTTCCTGACACTGCAGCAAAAAGGGTCTAATTTATTGCTTCAATGGACAGTTCGGAATCTTATAAGGATACTACGTATCTTATGCATACCAACGCCCAATAATTTGGTCGTCCAAAAATATCTGATGATTCTTTCAGATCAGCAATCTTGCAATTGACCATTGAGAATATTTACCGGTGCCATGCACGCGATGTGTGACAATTCTTTATTACGTTAAATTTAAACTGTTGTCCTGTATTTACTCGTAATCGTGTACCTGATGGCGGGGTAGGGAACTCATACATGGCTTGCCCTCGGACGATCCATGTACTGCTTAACTTCATCTCAAGGGAATGTTAAAAGTTAAGTGTGATATGTTCATGTAAACCACATTCGAATATATCCAATTCGCCTTCAGGATTTTATATAGCTAAAGGCTACCGTCAGACCTTACACTATACTAGAGCGCAGGTCGTGAGGCTCACCGGTTTTGCTATTAGACATATATTATTTTATCTGTATAGGGGGGAAATGCTAGGTATACTCAATATAAGGATAACGTCAACTAGTGGCTTGGTATTAGGGTATGACCTAACAGCTTCTGTCACAATATAGTCTGAACACAGCTTTTCATGGAACACACGTTAAGCAGTTTTCACAAAAAAAAAATACGTTTCTACATTTGATGATACAGTGTATCACCGCGGAGAATGTTGGCGTTCGTTTTAATGTGCCTATACAGTGGCCTTTAAACGTGAAAATTGAGATTGAATTTAAATCTCACACCCTATGGGAAAGGGCAAACGTTGTCTTCTAGAGCGGAAAGTATTTGCCCGATTGGCCCTCCTATTCGAAGAGCAAACTCTAACGACGTACAAAAAATCAGCTCTGTTCGACCTTTGAAAGGTCGTCTTAGACTAGATAAACCCATACATCGATTTTTTTTTTAGTTTAGTTTAATTTAACAATTATAGGCACAGTATGCAAACTGTGTTCTTTTCGCATATGATTTGGATATATTTATTTAATAACTGCATAGGAAGACACCAGGGTTCTTATTTCGTGTCCATATAGAGTAACAACGGTTTTGGGTAACAACTAAAGACAGTTCAAAAAAAATGTTCTGGAAGAGTACGAAAACAAAGCAGCGACATATATGGTAGCGTTCAAATTTATCAGATTTATTTTACTGTCGACCGTTGTCAAACCATCCATTCTATAAACGTTCTATAGTATCCATATCTTTTAGCCTTGGTTTAATCTTTACTGTTATCAGGTACAGTTCTTGTCAACTTTTCGCTATGAGCCGCATTTACAGCTCTTCTTATACTTAGACAAATAATCCAGTGCTTGATCGATTGAAATTTTTATTTTTGGCATTTTTTTCATTTATCTATTTGGCATTATTCAGATCCCAAATGTTAATGTTAAAATAACTTCTTATGTTTATCTATTGAAAAATCACGGCAAGTCCTAAACAGCTCTTCAATTATTAAAAATGTATTTTTATTTATTAGACTTTAATGAAGATTAGTAATGAAGACAAAACACAAGGAACTAAGAGTTTTGGACGTCTTATTCATAAAAACAAGACTACCCCCGATAGATCTATTTTGAGCTTTTTATCAATTAATATCATCACACCTTTTGTACTTCATTGCATTGTTTTTGACATAACTTCAAAGAGTTAGTTTGATAATTACCCTTTACATGCTAGTGCATACGTATACATTAGAAGCCTCTTTGCTGCCCTAAACCTTTTGCGATAAGCACTCATTGTGGATGGGTTCGTATTTTAGATGGCACCCATACGTATCGAGTCTATTCAATATGGCGATTGTTCCAAAACGCAACGCTTTTGAAGACAGTTACGCTGTTTACACGGTGTGATCAGAAATTAGGTAAATCACCTTGTAAAAACCTATATTCGTACAGTTATATCACATATATGCCAAAAAAATCGACCCTTCTATCGGTTTGTGGACTGAAAAAGCCTCTAACTAGTATGCGCATGCACCTGTACCGTATGATACCAAAATTCCGCATTGAAAAGAACGAGGTAAAGCTTGAAAGGTTCAAGAGGCTTCCCCACCCTGCATAATATGTGGTAGTCTGAAAAACGGGCAGCAATTTCCTCTCTTGGGTCCTGTCGAGTGTGAGATGAACAAAATGTCCTGGATTCCCTTGTTTGTTTCGTTTGCCGTGACGAGGTCACCATTCACTGCAGCCTGCTTTTTCCTAAGAGTTGCTATCCCTGCCTTGTGGCTAATAAACCTCGCCGCTCCACTGACCACATACAATCGAGCTAAGCGCATCTCATTCATGTTGAAAGAAAGACCTCTCTATTTTATCCTTAGGCCCTACTTTGGTATTGGTTTAGCCGTTGGCGCCATCGTTGTTAGCCATTGCCTCGAAACCCTCATGTCATTATTAGGGCTAAGGGTAGGTGTGATAAAGCTCGACTAT